ATATACTAGGATCTGTGTGAGCATAACCAAAGTCCAATAAATACGACGCTTTTACAAAACATATTAAGACAGACTAATGTGTCATATTCTTGTCTGGAAACATTTATTGTGTTGAATGCTATTTACGCCAGTCACTTCGATACATCGTTGTGGTGGAGGGTAGATAACCGATCCGAGGTTGAGAATTCGAAACTCTTGTCATATACACTCAATTTCGGTAAACTCATAAATATATTTATGGGTGTTCATTGTGTTCGCTGTCGAATGTCCATACAATACACTAGCTGAAATATATACATATTTAATGTTTCAGCTTCATTGTTGAATGTGTATGTAAATATTTCATCAGTGAAATGCGATTGATACAACAGAGAAGAGAGAATCTCCTGAGTCCTTGGACTCCTGAGAGAAGGGTATAACAATAGACCTATAAAAATTTAATTTCAAGAAAATTTTGGGGACAACGAATTTTCACGCACCTGTATTGTTTGTTATCATTTCAAAATCACTACGCGGATGTGTTACATCGCACTATGCTACACAGTACACACGCTTACTTGAATCGTCGTGGGGGTAGAGAAGCTTCTCTCATATATTGAAATAAATGGCACAACCATCACACAGCTCAAGAAAGAAGTGACACACATTTCTACGCTTCAACCGCTCACAAAGAACAAGTTCTGTTATATTAATGCACCTGCAATCCTCCATATAGCGTTAAGACGGTGCACTTCTAATAACTTTCTCAATAATTGAGAGTTGGCTAGAGGAGTACATGTACACCACAACAATGGTTCAAGTGATTCTTTTGAAAATGAGATAATAACTTGCTTCAAAATAGCGTATTCGAACTGTACAACAATACTTGGGATGCACCCCGATATTTGTCTTCGTTGAGGACATTCCCGCCGCAAAACGCCAAGAGAAGGTCAGTAGAACTGGAGCAGCCAACCAAAAATGGTCAGAATGGCAAGAGCTCGGCAAAGCACAGCTAGGTTCATCCACAAAAGGTATTCAATTATTGTCTGCAGCTTGCACACGCACCTGGGAACATACTCGTGTAGCGATAGGCGCATGCATAACGATGCGCGCAGATTATTATATTGCGCCCCACGAAACTGACTCACAAATTGTGTACTTGTGTCGACTACACGGGAATGGGGTATTCGTTGCAGCACAAGATTCTGATTTTTCGGTTTGCTATGGCGTGAATATATGCTTTGGTCTCACCAAAGGAATAGTGAAATCAAATCCTACAGTTTTTAGAGTGTGCATGTTTACCATGGAACAACGTGATACATTCTTTAAGACTAAAGGCCTCACTGACGATTCATTTATATATATACATATATATATACATACATATAGATACATATATATATATATATATATATATATATATATATATATATATATATATATATATATAACTAATAATATATAATATATATATA